AGAAGCGTATAGTGCCGTACGAGAGGAATGGACGAACGGAAATAGTACATACTTGGATGGGGCGCGACGCGAGCGCGATGTAATCCCCGGATTTCGGGACGTTTTAAATTTCAATTACTGGGGATGGTGGGCGCCGACCCGCGTCCGTTGCCGTACGTGTAAATATGCGACTCGATTGTCCGGTCGGTCAATAAAATGCTCCGTTCTGAATATACAACCCAGGAATCGAGCCGCGGTGTCAGGCGCGGACAGAGCGGGAGCCGGCGCCGCTAATAATTAAATGCCGGCCGGATTGGTCGGAACGTTGTTTTAATCCTGTCATTACCCACAATGACGATAGTACCGCGTGCCGCGGTCATTCATTGAGGCGAGTCAATTACGGGAAAGCATTATCGAGTTCCGAAGGGTGTAAAACGGGAAATAATGATATTTTGATCGCGGCTGCCCTCTCGACGCTATTCGATCCCGTTTCACCGCTCGAAACCCTTTGTCAAAGTGACGAAGCAACAGAGAGAACGCGCGCGTGCACGGTCGAACGCACGGTTAATCCATGCTCCGCGACAAGAGTCGTTCTGCCCGCAATTCCGCGCGATCGAGCGGATCGCGCTAGTCGGCCAAAATTTCCCGCGGAACAAAGAACGCGCGCCGCTTTTTCGAGCGATTGATTTCGAAAAATTCGCCGAACAAATACTACGGTCAGTTTGTTTAACTAATTAAATACCGAGCGGCGCGCCTCTGCCAAGATTTCCGGTGTGTATCGCGTATCGCGAGGGTTCCCCTGAATCTTTCACCCCTGCGTGACCAGGCGCGGCGATCCGGCGAGCCGCTCGTTTACGTCTGGCCAGTTGTGCCTCGTTTTTGTTGGCATCGCTCGGTGGTAATTAATAATGGCGCGATACCTACCGTCGCGCCGATGAGTATAGCGTACATCGGTCATGATTTATGGAAGCGTAATGAAGCCTGTTCCCCGCAGGCGACGCGGGGTAACCGGCAGGAGCGTGTGCAGTTGAAGGGCGAAAGAGAAGCTAACAGCGAAACGGACCGCCATAAGGAACGCCGAAAGATGGCCCCTTTCCAGGGCGCAATAACGCGTGTTCCAGCTAAGAAGGGAGATCTTCCGTCTGGTAAAGATGTCTGACACTGTGGGGTGCGTATCGTCTGTCTGAAACTATCCGCCCACTTGAAGTAACAAGAAGGGGGTGTCGCCTCGGCACGAAACTTAGCGCCGTTCAAAGTCGATCCCTTCGCTGTCGCATAAATTACAAACGGTCCCCGCGACGCGGACCAGTTAAAATCTAGAACAATCGGGCACACGATGTTCCGCACGATAAAAATTTGCATTCCTATCGTCCTCGTAAAACCGACGGTGGCGTCGCGCGCGCGTAAAAACGAAAAGACGACCGAGATAGACAGACGAGGAGGAGCGGCGAGCGGCACTAAATAAGGCAGCGATGTCCCGCAAAAATGCTGTCCCTTTCCTCGGAGAGAGCAGTCGGAAGAAATTGGTCTGACGAAAATTTATGCAGGGTCGAATGGCCGGACACGACGTCCACGAGGAGAAAGTCCAACTCGTGCGGCTTGTTTTATATTCCGTGGCCGGACGCCGGGACGCATCCCCTTTCGGACCTTTCAACCGGCTCCTTTTTAATAATTTACAAGATCGACGTACTACAATCGACGTATCTCCCTTCCGAATGATACCGAAATGATGCCCCGGTACGCGTTTTCGACTGTCGATCGAATTTTCGAGCGATGCGCGCGTCCGAATATTCGCTCGGGGCGCGAAATCCGACGGGGGGATGATGGGTGGGAACGCCAAAAACCGATAATCCTCGACAGCTCGAGCGAGCGCGTCGAACATTAACGAGAAGATCCCGTGCGGGGTATTCGTTTCGCGTTGAAATTACGAGGCACGGGCTGAGCCCCGTCGTTAAGGAGCAGCGCGGTTCTTCTGCGAAGGCAGGGCGCAAGAAAATTTACATCCTCGAAAAAGCGGAGCAAACGCGCGATGGGCGTTCTCCCCCGACCGGGGGAGGGGGAGGAGTCCGATAAAAAAAGTCATTTCTCGCGGCGGGCTCCGCCGACGAGTTCCACCGGTTCCGTGCGCCGCGAAGAGACTTTTTACGGGGTTGTTCCGCAATTTCCTCGGGACAAACTCGCCCGTAATGGACTGTATGCGTCATACTTACCGCGCATGAAATAACAATTAAGCGCATTAATTAACAATAAACGGGGATTTCGACGTAGGGGTGGATGTCGCGTTTGCTTGAGACGTAAAACGCCGGGACGACGCCCTCTCCGATCGTACGGGGCTCAAGTCCGCGGAAAGAAACGGCCGCGTCCGGGCACGATCCGCAACCGAGCGACTTTTAATACCGTTCCAGACAGGGACCGGTTGCCACTGCCGCGTCGAGACCACAGCCACTTTTATCGCGACGGGACACGAAACTTGCGCCGGCCAGCCGACCGCGCGCGGCGCGCCTCTAATTGCGCGGCGTACTTTCATTCGTACGGTTTTTATCCCCGCGGTGGCTTACCGTGTCGCCCCCCACCCTCCGCGCGACCGTCTCATTTCGGCGAACGAAAGGAACGCATGAAATGGCCGAAACCGCTCGGTACACTGTCCCGAGTGCGGTCCCGGACTAATTTTTGCGGCGTGCCGTTTCAGGTGCCCTCCCCCGAATTGCGACTCGTCGAGAGACGGCATTAGGTAAATGGCGAAGTCGTTTCTCTTTCTCTTTTACTCGCGGGACAACAGTCGAACGGGTCGGACAATTGAGCAAACGGTAGCCGGCGAATTCTTTCCGAGACGCGTCGCGGGGAGGTTGAAACAAAATTGCGAAATTACGGTCGGCGGGCACGAAATTGCCGAGCAGGGATCAACGCTCGCGACCAATGAAATAACAGGCTACACGTGGCTCCGCGGAAATAAAGGGGCAACGGCAATTTCAACTTCTCGATATCAATCTTGGAGGTGGTGGACGGGGATGAGGGAGGATCGTGGTATCGCGGTGTCGGTATCAACCACGAACGCGTTGGCGTCGCTCGGGCTGTCGTTACCGGTGAAAACGAAAGAAAAAGACGTCGGGCATCGGACGTCGCGGGGGTGGGGAACGCGAGCGTAGGGCGACGAGACGCGGCCGCGAATCCGCTCCGTTTGTCTCGAGCGCTGTGACGCCCTCGTTATCGACGTCCTTGTACGCGGAACTCATTTGCTTAATTGCCGTGATTACCAGCCGGGCCGCCGTCGTTGAAGCCCGCTTGGAATTGACGGCGGTGCCCGGCCATCTTTCCAGACGAGACGTAATTCGCGGGAACGTACGACCGCGGAGCCGGCGTGCAAAGGTGCACGCGCGGCGAACCCCAGACGCGGACATTCGGGAATGCACGTCACGATGGAACGAGGCCGACCTGGCGGAGCCGCACGCACCCCTTCGGGGGTGGTTTCGCGGGCTGAAAAATAATCGGCCTCCATCGCGCCGCGAAAAACTCGGGACAGGTATCACGACACTGCAGTGCGCCCGCACGAATCATTCGCCGCTCCGTCCTGTTCCGATTGACGCGTCGATCACAGGGGGCGTTTTAAATTCCCGGCCGCGGGAAAAATGTGTCCCGAATAGCATTGAAATGCAGATTACGTTTGCACGGGCTGGTTAAATCGGGCACCAGCGGAAGGAACTGATTTGATATTTTGATAGCGCAGACCGGCTCTGACAACTGTAGAATAGTCGAACAGCCAAGCGGCATCCTGTTGTCAGCCGCGACGAGTTATTATCGCGAATAAATAATCGGGTTTTCCACTTCCACACCGAGTCACCGAGACCAACGATTTCCGATTTCCTGATTTCAATCGTAATAACTTTCTTCGGAGGATTATCGGGCTGTCGCGTCTGGCGTGATCGATAGATAGAGCACCTTAAGCAGCCTCCGCGTTGCTCGGGCGTGGAACGGCATTAAATTGGTTGCATTCGGGCGTCGATACGTTCGCATAATTGCAACGCGGTCGCGCCGGGAAGTGCGATGACAAAGCTTTTTCCGGGACAGCAGCAATCCGCGTCGAATTCATTGTGATATAATCGAATAACGAACGAAACAGGGGTCAACAAAATACGACGGCACGGTTCATTGTTGTTGCAAATGATTGTTAGCGATGCGCGTGATTCGATCCGATGGCGACGCGAAACAAAACGATTGTTGCGGTTGATTATGGTGTCGCCGCCGGAACGAATTGTGAATCGCGAACTGATATGTTCTATCTTCTGCGCCCGGTTCGCGGTTGTTAATGAGAAAAAAGGGCAAAAACCGAATCGAAATTCGGAGTTCGCATTCCAAAAATTGCTGCACTGGATTTTGTGGAACGTCTCATCAATAAATAAACGCGAAAATGGAAGGCAGAAGCGACGATATACGTTTCGTTCGTATTCGGATCTCTATTACAAATTCATTCGAGTTTCCTCGAACCGAGTAAAAAGATCGTACGGTAGGGTCTTCATTATTCGCGTGTCTCATTAGCCGAATATTCCCTCGGCCGAATAGTGCCAGTTCACGGAGACATTAGTTCGAATAATGGAGGTCCCCACTGTGTCGCGATTCACGTCGCCACACGCTTCTTTCTGCATTAAGCATGCGACCGTGCATTAGAAGCGAACATTACACGGTGACCGAAGTGGCCCGACGTCATGAAACTGTTCCAATTGCTCCCTCGTTTATTATTCCATTAGGTAGAACCGGCAGTCTTCCCGTTGCAGCGTCAAGTTATGGGAAGTGCGAATTATTTACGGAGCAAACGTACCCTTAACGTCGGTGCATGCAGATTTACCGGAGCTACTTCTGCTCATTATCGCATACGAGATGGTAGTCGCCGACAGCTTTGAATAAATAAATGTGTTTCGGTCATGGTACTGACCACGGAACGATCGTTAATAGTTTCTCGATATTTATCGGACCACTGGCCTCTTAAACAATCCCTACTTCTCATCCGTTGCAATATCTAATTGTCATCAAAGATTGTAAAGTACCTCTTGATTAACGTCATCCAGGAATACGCATCTGAAGATGTCGTAAAAACGCGAGTAGCATTCGCAAGCCTTTTTACGCGCGTCCCGTTTTTTCGATGCGAACATTAGATTGACGCGTGCGCGACCCTCATCTGAAGACTCTCCGCGATTCCCTTTGGTAGAGCCACGGAGGTCGCGGTCTTAAAAAATTCCCGCAATATGTGTAACATTTTTGACTCGATCTCTTCTTGCCACGAGAATTTCTTCCGCTCCGCGGTGAATTCCGCGCATTTCACGTGGTAAAATGGGGTGTCTTTTGAATAATTCATAACCGCGAAATGTTGTTCGTATACGTCGAAATTATTTAAAGCGAACTCCTTATTTGCAAATCTCAGGAAGCAGTTTTTGTTCGCGAATAATCTCACGGGTTTCATGAACCAGCGCACGTCGAATTTAACTTTACCAATTTCTGATCTCTGATATAACACGGTCTGTGCCAGATAAGCGTAAGATGTGAAATAAATACTATTATTTCGAATGGCGGATCTTTTAAATGTTAAGTTATGTATGAATACTGAGAAAAAACTTTCAATTTTGAATTCCTGTCTCTATGAACCACTTCCTGTACTTCAATCTTCTGGTAAACTCTCTTCAATGTGACCAGTTAAGAAATAAGTGTCATCTGGCTGTGTTTGTACAAAGCTTTCCTCAAGAAAAGATTCAGCTACCCACAGTAGCAGAAAGCACAGTAGCTTGCCTTTGAGTCATTTATTTGCCCTTCAACAAAGTCTGTAGTAACTTTTTGTTCACATTCAACATCTTTTATAGGAAATAAAATAAAGTGTAACTCCTTCTGGTAAATGCAAGAAAAGTACTTACTGTTCTGAATTTGGAATCATCTTTAGATTTATAGCCGACCCTACTGCAATCATAATATATCATAATAGCATTCTGTCTTCTACAGAACTGCTGCATAGAGAATATGAATGGTTATATCTTAATATTTCTTTTGTTACGAATTCTATTTTTTCATCCTCCTTAGTTTCAATATCAGAACATATTAATGTACACATACGAATGTAAAAGATCTGGTATATTTGATAAATTTTGTCTAGCAATATTCATATTATAAATCCATACGGGATCATTAAATAAATGTTATTTGAGTCTTACGCTGAAATACCTTCCTCAGAAGAAACAAGTAGCTTCCAAACAGAATTATTCAGTCCCCTAGTATTGTCATAAGTAATTCTAAATAAATGAAATACTAAATTATAATCACAGATGTAGTGCTTAGACGTTGTAGCTTCATAAACTGTAAATATAATCTGAAAAATTGAAGAAGAAATTGCATATAAAGTAACGTGGGTTTGACATTTGTAATTTATAGTGTTTAATGGTTAGTTTTACAAATAATTAACAATATTAGATGACACAGTAATAAAAAAGATTTTATAAAATTGTTACAGTGTTTAATGTAATAAGTTCTACCAAAATTTACCTGAAAATTCAGGATCTCTGTAGATAGAAATACTTAAAAACATAACCTCTTTTCTGTTACTAAAATTTGTAACAGCAAGAAACACTATGTTTATTATTACATGTCACTCTATTAACTTGTCTTATATAAGATTTATTTATTCTTCAATTCCAATTTAAAATTATTGTTATTTTATTAGAATTAGTACTTTCTGTTATAGGGGAATTATGTTACATTTTATAGGGAATGTTCATAGGGAATTTTATTTATAACTAGAATATTGATATTTTCTGGAAGGATACAAATCACTCATGGCTGATTTCGTCTTTCCTGTTGGCGCTTAAAGTGTTTTCGCAACGAGCCGGCATTTTAAAAGACAAGCTTGCCTAAGACGGTTAAAACTGTGCTTTTAAATTTGTGGTAAGTAACTTAATTTCGCATGAAAATAAATTTTATTTAATAGATTAAGCTTATTAAGGTATTATATTTTCATTTTGGGCATCAATATTTGCGCTGATTTTTATACTATAGAAAATAATACACGTGGAATAATAACTTTCTAATACCACGCTAATCATGCTATTTGAAATACTTGTAAAAAAAGGTATCTATATAAGTAGTTAATTCTTTTCTTTGTTTGTGACAGTGTAATTTCGTTACATACTGAAAGAACGAATTGTAGAGAAAGATGGTTAAAGCTGTTGTAGAAGATAATAAAGATCAAACAAAAGACCTTCTTCATGCTCCCAAAGAGGGATTTATACAGAAGAAGAAAAGCCAAAAGTTTAAACAAACACCAATGGGCAAAGTTATTCTGATTAATGGATCGAAAACTTCAAATGGTAACAATGATGAGGTATCAAAACAGTTAGAAAAACATAAAAATAAATCTTCTAAAAAAACAGCAGAAAGCAAAAAAGAACATAAAACAAAAGGTTCTCCAAAGGATAATAAGAAATTACAAGAAACTCTTAAAAAGAATGAAGCACAATCCGAGAAGGATGATTCTGATTTAGATGAAGATATCAATGAGGGAATCGTTTTAGAAGAACATAGCTTTATGCAAGAAAGTGGTGGTAGTGAAATTGATAATTCTGATGAGGATGAGAGTGAAGATGAAAAGAATGTACCAAATATTCTTGGAACAAGTTTAGCAGATGACACTGATGAAGATGATGAGGATTACGAGGAAGATGAAAAAGTAACTGTAGTAAAGAGAGGAGTAAAAATGTTTAAAGGGTCGAGGTCAAACGATAAACATGCTGATACTTCTATGAACAGCATAAATAAATCTGAAATAGAAAGTGACGACGATGAAGAAGATGAGGAGGATGAAGAGAATGAAGAGAATGAAGAGGATGAAGAGGATGAAGAGGATGAAGAAGTTAGTAATAGTAACAAAGAAGACAATGAAGATGAAGTTGATGATGAAGAAGATGATAACGATAGTGATGAAGAGTCTGAAGATGAAGAAGAAGGGGATGAGCCTACACTAAATTGGGAAGCAATCTTAAGTAATAGTATTGTTGAGGATGATGAAGATGATGAAGATTTTAATGAATTAGAAGAAGCGGATGATGATGATGATGAGATTAGTGATGAAGATGAAGATGAAGTTGATGATGAAGAAGAAGAAGAAGGAGACGAAGAAGAAGAAGATGAAGAAGAAGAAGCAGAAGAAGAGGAGGAAAATGACAGAGCTAGTAATCATGAACACGATAAGAAACATGAAGATAATTTAGATGCTTCTTTGGAAAAATTAAAGGAAGATAAAAGAACTATATTTGTTGGAAACCTTCCAAAAGAAGTAATGAAGAAACAATTGCGAAAACAGTTTAACAAATTTGGGGACATTGATACCATACGTATAAGAGGTATAGTAGGAAAATCCATGAAGATGTCCAAGAGGGTTGCAGCAATAAAAAAAGACATTCATCCCAAATTAAAAGCCGTTTTTGCTTATATTAGATATAATTCCGAGGAATCTGCTAAGGCAGCTTTATCCATGAATGGAAAAGTATTTAATGGAAACTATTTAAGAGTTGATTTGGCTTCCACATCACATGAGAAGCATGATGTAAAAAAAAGTGTATTTGTAGGAAATTTAAATTTTAGTAAGTATACTAAGCCTTGCAAGAAAGTAAGAGTTTAAGATAGAATAAATTGATTTTATAATTTATTATACCTTTTAGACATTGATGAAAACACACTTTGGAAATACTTTAAGGGCTGTGGTGAAATAGAGTCTGTACGTTTAGTTAGAGATAACAAGACTGGAATTGGCAAAGGATTTGGATATATAAATTTTAAGACTGAGGATGCTGTAGCATTAGCATTAGAATTACACGGAACAAAAATTTCAAATCGTGAAATTAGAGTAAAACCATGTAATGAAAGCAATAAAAAAGACAAGACTAAACGCGATAGAAGATCACATTCTAAAGGAGAAAAAAATTCATTTAAAAAGATGAAAAATAATGAAGAAGTTCCTGTACCTGTGTGTATTCTCAATTACTCTCTTTATTATTTAGAAGCTATATAAACAAATTAAAATTTTATCTTTTTTTAGGTTCACAATAAGAAAAATGCCACAAAAAGATTAAATGAAAAAGGACAAAAGCTAACTGAAAAGCAGACTAGTCCACAACAATCAAAAGCATTTGAAGGTAGAAAAGTAGATGAAAAGAAGAAAAAGAAGAAGTCAAACAAGTTAGAAAAAAAGAAGAAGCTTCTGGCAGAAAAACTAGCTGCTAAACCTAAGAAACCGTCAAACTGATAGTTTTTAAAATGCATGTATTAATTTTATAAAACAGTACCACCTAATTTTAAATATTAGATTTAATTTATATGATTGTGTTAAAACGAATATGAGTGAAAATGGGAAAAGAGAAACGAATATAATCAAAAGAGGAATTGTGTAACAGTGATATAGCATTTGTAGGTTTTCACAAGGTTGTAAATGTAAGTCGTGAAAATTGAATATGTATTTAATATTGAGTAAAAAGCTATTTTTATGATTCAATACTTTTTATTAAATTTTTTATTTTCGTATGTAATTGGGATGGTAAATTACTTATATTACTGGACGCACATTTTGGGCAAAACCGTTTTCCAAAATAAATACTACATCCTAAACACACGGGTTTCTTACAAAAGCTACAGTCGGCACCAAGTACTAAAACTTCTCCTTTGTTTGGTAAACTGAAAGGATCTTTCATAATATAACATTCTTCTGAATAAGTTATCTGCCGCGCAAACGGAGGTTTGACACCTTTGAAATCAAAACGTTCTTGTAATGAACAATAAGAACATGTAAAGACTCCACCAGTGGGTTCCTTTTTTCCATGAACTGTTGAAGTACTAGCATGACTAGACTGACTAACTCCAGCTTCACTCACAGACGTACTAGCGATTGATTCCATCCTATAAAATAAGGGTGAAGAATACTCTATAATTCTTTCTCGTAGTAAATTTATTTGACATTTAAATATTACAATTTTACATATAGAGACAACACTCTGTGTAAATGAATAATAATTACTTTCATTATTTTCTATCAGCAGTAGTGCTTTCATTTTCTAATTCTTGTGGCCACCAACTAGGCATTGCTATTTTCAATTTCATACCTAATATAGTAAGAGATTTGGCATTCAAAGATTCTTTAATTCTCATTAAACCCAAACCATATTCTTTTTCATTTCCCCTAAATTTACCCACTACATTACCAGAATCGTCTACAATTTTATCATCATAAGAAAGAGATTTAGTAGGAAGCTCCTCAAATAATAGTGGCATTATACGTTTTCTGACTACACCAGTGTGATAAGTACGCGCTGTTAATTCCTGACCAATGTAACAACCCTTATGAAAATTAACTCCATGCAAGTAATCACAATTAATTTCTAAAGGCAAAGGCTGACCTGGTGGTAAATCATTAATGCCTTCAGGTATTCCAAGTTTATAGCGAAATGCTTTGTAACTTAATGCATTATCAGAAATAGATATATCAGAGTTCAAATGTTTTTTTATTTCATTTTGTCCTACATTTGACTCTGCCAAGATTCTAATACCTAAATCTGAAAGTCTAGGATCTTCATAGATCATAATGTTATCTATTACTTTACTTGACTTATTATTAAGAGTACCACATGGGAAGATTGCACCTTCAAGCTTTTGCCTACTATTATCAGTACCAGTATTAATTGCATATGGGACAGCATCGAATAATGACCAAACATTTATGTTGCTTTCTATATTATCTATGTCTATCTTCCTCCTAACAAGATACATTTTTAAATGCTTTTGTAATGAACCTGCAGCTTGCGAATCACATTCAATGTAAAATACATCATCTTCCTGACTCTTATATACAATAACATCATACAACACTCTACCCTTTATATTTAGAAACAATGCATATAAATTAGCAGCTCCTTCCCCAATGTGTTTCATATCATTTGTAATTAATCCTTGTAGAAAATCTGAAGCATCCTTTCCTCTAATTCGCAATAAACTCCTATTTTTCAGATGCTCTAAGACTTTGGACGAAGCTTGGGAAGAATCATGTCTAACAAAACTTGTACAAAATCTTCCAAATTTATCCACCTTGCAGAATGGCAATACAAATCTTTTAAGATGTACAATCATTGCACTGAATTTCACCAAACTATTTGTGCAAGTCCAACCTTTGTAATGAAGTAAAATACAAATAACCAGTATAAGAAAAAGGTAATTTGACGTATTATAACCTTGTATAATATTCATCATTATAAAAACATATAGTAAAAATTTTATCTTACGTTTTTATTTGATTGCAGAACAACTGCCGAAATCTTGTTTGAGTTTCAGATTAATGTACCATTGTTTCAATCAGAAATTCCTTGGATACTTTGAATTCTTCATCTTCACACAGGAGCCACTAATGCACCAAAATAATTACACCCTTTGACACGTAACTTTACGAATAATATCAGAGAAACCCATGCGAAACAGAAGAATAACTATTTAGTTTTTATATTCTGAATTCATACTGCTTATCTGTAAGTTTCGTTCAAGATGATTTTAAATAATATTTGCTTCACACATAATAACAATAGTTGAAAAGCGCACCACTGACATCTACGATAAAACTCTCAATTATTAGTACGTGTTCGCAGCTGAAAGCTAAGTGGATATCGAAGATCACCTCACCCCTCGTTGGTAATGTCGGTGACTGTAAAGGGAACAATTTATTGGACAATACCACAGATGGTAATATATATCTTAAGTTGTGTAATATATCGGTACAAACATAAACGTAACATCTGTATGCTAACAACTTGAACAATCTATCGTAGATGGCACCATTATTCTTTGCAATCACTCCATATAAAATTGAAATAAGATTTTGCACATATTTGGTAAAGCTCCTAGCAACATCCTCATAGATACTTGAAAACTGCATATTATTTTAAACAATAGTATATTTATCGCAATACCCATATCTCTATATAATTAAAAATATTCTTTACAAAGCAGCAGAAGAATACACGAGGATTTAGCAGAGAAACGATCCTTCGTTCCGTAACAGGAAGGATGCAGTTGTCGAACGAAAGACTAAAAATTTCATTTATCCGAAAACTACTCAAATTTTTCTACATCTCGTACAGGATATTCATGAACATTTTCTTAATTTTCAGCGGCGTTCCCTCGCGGATCGTGCCAAAGACACGAGGACAAGCGGTCCGAAGCGATTAATATTCCCCATTCGAAATTTGTATGAAATTTACCCGACACTGATGACGAGCAACGGAATCGGCAACCGCGGAGGGAAAGGAAACCGAGTTGCTCGGCGGGTCATGCGAACGGCGGGTTGCGGGGGACCATGGCGTCGCGGTGGATGCGGTTGCGGGATCCGAGAGGACAGAGGAGGGATCTGCGCGCGCATTCCAAGCGCGCGTCACTTGTAAATAGTTCTATTCTCGGCGAGAGAAGGTAGCCGAGCCGAGAGTGCTCGGCCCGACACCAGTCAAGAAACCAGCTGGGGCCTGTGCCGAACGATTCGAGCGCCTCTGCACGGGACTCGGAGCTGGAAGTCGTGCGAGTCCCGCTCGAGACGGCCAGTGTGTCGCAAGTGCGCCGCAAGTCGTGTTGGATATATACGATCGTCCCGCGACCGGACCGAGCGGAGACCGATAATCGAGGCCAGAAAACGATTTTTCATCGTGAACCAGTTCGCATATCGCAAGGTGTGTTTGACGCGGCGGTGTCGAGTGCCGCGAAACCATGATTTCCGCTCCATAGAGAGCCCGAACAGTCCCTCAACGAGAGTTCGCGGTGTGCTACGGACCCAATAGGTGCATTGCCGGAGAACGCGTCTGTTCCGTTCGCTGTTCCGTTTCTTCTCTTCTTCTTAGCTCGATTTCCGATCGGGAACCATGTACTCCGACGGTCACGAGGTGGACGGCAGCTGGGTGCTGCGTGTCTACGTGACCGATCTTCAAGTGGAGAGGAGTTTGCGAGTCAAAGGGGAATTGCACATCGGCGGTGTCATGCTACGTCTGGTCGATGATCTCGGTGAGTCCACTATACGTTGTCTTTTCTCTCTTTCCGTTCTCTCTCCGTTCCGTTCTCATTTCAATGCGACAGCGAAAGCGCGCGAAGATTACAAATTTGAACGATTACCCGCGATTAATTTACGGCACGTGATATGCTGGCAGCTGTCACGTGACCCGCCGAAGTAAATCGTACGGAGGGATCGTGGCATTGTTCGATCCGTTAATCGGCGGAAACGAATTAACTTCGTGATGCGCATAGCAACCGTCTGCATCTCGGTATCCTTATTCCTCTTTGAAAACCAACGCCGGATCAAATTACGGCGTTACGTTACAAATTAAATCGTAATCAGCATCCCCGACGGAGAATATCCGCGCGTCGTATTCATTTCCTTTGTAATTGCGCCTGCGTGAAAAGTCATGCTCGTGGGTAGCATTTCGGCGAACGTAAACACAGCCGAAAGAGGATCCGGGGCCGGTTGGTATAGTCGGAAGCGGGAATTCCACGAAACCTGGGTCCGGTCTTTCAAAATAGCCAGGTAGAACCGCTCTCGGGGTGGGCTTGGATCGATGGGGCCCCTCGCGTCGGAGCAGCAACAAGTTGCGGGATTATTAGCGCCGTCGCTGGAAGGAACGCGACTGTACGGGATGATGTCCCTCTTCCACCTAGCGATGGATGCACAAACCGAAGCGTGCACCGGGAGTGGAAAAACTGGACGGTCGAACTAGTTTCGCCGTGACGGCGACGAACGGACGGATGGACAGACGGACGCAAGGAGGAGAGACGCGGCCACCGAACTCCTTTATATGCTAAAGGGAGCTCCCACAGGCTGGTGGGACGACACAGAGACACGTGAGACCCGACTGCCTAGACTCTAGACCCTACGATGTCCGCCGCACGTAAAATGAAACAGCGTACCGACCACTTTCGTCGCAGATAAGCGTAACCGAGAGCCGGTGTCTTATTTCATACGCGAATCGCCATTGGGAAACGATTATGAATACCTTTAGCACCGCGAACACCGTATAACCGTCGTGCACCCAATCCGATGGATCACGATCCGACAGGAAGTCTTCGAATCCTTGTCTTCTTTCTGTCTGGTCAGATACGCGATTGAATAATACTCGAAAGTATGTATTAATGATTTATTCGTCCCAGTAGAAAGGGAATTAGGATTCGATAAAGATTGGGAGATATTGCTCTAGACGTTAGAGTCTAACAGAGCACACTAGACGACTGAACGTTGAACGATATTTGTAAAAATTCGAACGCCCGATAGGAGACGAACATTAGCCGAGTTAAGATAGTTCCCGCAGGTCAATACACCGGTTAATTAGTCGCGTTCAGAGCGAGATAGCTCCAGTCCCGGGCGAATTAGCCAATTTCGATCAATTGAGGCGGACCATAGCCCACGAACCGTCCAGCCGAATAGAGCTGAGAATATCGCGAGTACGCGACGAAGCCTAAGCGCAGCTGCTCCGAACAAGACACCAGGGCAATTGCTGTTGCAAATCGTCCGTGAAATTCAGGAAGGCCGGTCCCCGCGACGGCCGAGTTCGACGATGATGCGTCGATTATTTCCCGCCGGTTTATTTCCGGTCATAAGTTGGGGACGTCGCTTTCGTCGACGGCCGTACGCGCAGAATGTTACGAAGCGTTTCTTGGTCGATTGAAAATAGAACCCGTTCATCGGTTTATTTTCACGGCTCGGCTTACGGCCAGTCGTAATTCACACTTAGAACGCGTATCGGTTCCTCGTTTTCATCCCTTTCCAGCTTGTTTGGACGTGCCGCGCGTATAAACTTCTCGGAGCGCGCGGGGAACCGCGTCCTGCCCTCTATTAGGCGTCCGTGTATTTTCGGCGGTACCTTACGGAGACGACAGTTCCGTCTCCCTTCTCTTATCCGGCCGATCCGAGAGGAAGAGGGAGAAGAAACGAACCGGGCTTATTTTAACCCGGAGTTTCCTCCATACGATTTTTCGAGCCGCCGACATTCTCTGCCCCCTATCCCCCCCGCCTCGTTCCGCCGTTCGTTTCTCCGATCCTAAAAGGGCCCCACGATCCTCCACGGCTGTCCGACCTTTTATCCCTTCATTAAATCCCGTCCTCCGCTCCGTAACTCAGTTACCCGTCGTCTTTTTACGTCGCCGAATAAATCGCGCGGAACGACGCTTCTCGAAAATTCCCCGCCGCGATTAAAGGGGCCGCGACCCTCCGACTCGGAATTACGCGGGATTCCTTCGTGTTCCTCTCCGGACGCGATTTTTTCGAACACCTTCGCCGGGACGCTAAACACGGCGCACGTTCCGGCGTGACGGAAGACCGCCTCTGGTGAAAGGGAATTCCGATGCGTACTTATAGATATTGTATTTATTTATTCGCTTCGACCAGATAACTCGTATCTGGGCGATGGGCCCTACCGTCTGGAATAATGATAATGCCACGAGGGTGGCAATATACATACCCGCACCTCGGCCGGGTATCTGGAAGGTAGGGCGTTCGGATCGAATCGTGCTCGGTTCCCTCGACGACTTATAACAGTAATTATCCGCTTTAACTGTGCGCGCAATCGTTAAAACTATGGAAGGGAAATTGAATAAAAAGAACTCGTTAGCTGTCGCGTGAGGCAATGAGAATATAAATAGAGAACCGGTCAGATTCATGGGGATATCGGAGCAGCGCGAATCAGGCGCTGAGCAATACTCGACCCATGTCTGAATTTTTACAGTACACGCTTCGGTATCGAACTTTTCACCTGTAGAGGGTCGATCGATTTTCCGCGATCCATGAACACGGATGCTTTCACCGCACCGAAACTCGAGCGATCTTTCTCGTTCACCCTGGTACGAGCTAGGCCGAGATTCGGGGAGCAGGTAAAGAGAAATCCGACGGAGCCAGAGAGCTTTTGTTACGCGGCCCTCTCTCGCCCTTCCAGCTTGACAGGTTACCGTAGTGGTACAGGTGCCCGTCGACCGCTTCGGAAACGGTGTGGTCTCGCGCCGCTCGGCACAAGCCCTATGTAAATATATACCGGGTGTCCGGCTAACGCTCGCCCCGCACCGCGCGGCCAGGACGCATTGGCGCGATCGAAGGTCGATGGTCCGCGTAGCCCGAACGCGGAGAAACGTGTTGCGACGCCCGATCGTTGCGACGCGCGCTCGTTCGCCGTTTAAACGGCCGCGACCGCTTATAAATGGCGCGTTTAAGCGCGATACGAGTGCATCGGTGCATACGTTACGGGACGCGGCAGCGCGAGCGCGTTCGCCGGCCATTCAAGACCGCTGTCGGACGAAACGCGGTCGGGATTTATGCGTCTTCGTCGAGACGGTCCTCTCGCGACGATTTCGACGTTCCTCTCAGTTCTGGGGTACCCCCGGCACACTTGGCGCGCAGGAATACCGTGATCGCAACGGAATTTCGGGGTCCAGTCGAAGAGAAAAACGGAGGAATCGATGCGCGAGCGAATCCGTGGGCGTGAAATATAGCGAGAAGAAAGGCGTGCGGCTCTTTGCTCGAATAATTAACGTTCGCCGGGTGGACACGCGAGCGCGCCCGCGAACGGCCGGTGGAAGGACGCGAAACGAGTCGAAGACTCGAAAGTACCGTACCATCAGTAACTCGATGACAAGACTACATTCTTCTTGTCTCGCTTCCGCGAAATCGAGCGAGAAACCGTGCAGCGTCGTTCTTGACGCCAAGGAACTAACGTCTTTCCTCGATGTTCCTTGCAATCCGTGTCTTTTGATTGATAAATATCGAGCAACGCTGGCATGCGCGCTCGGCGCAGAAAAGGACGCGTCTTCGCTTGTCTTCGGTTGCTCGAGAAACGAGCGCAGTTCCAGGGTTCGATCTTTTCCAGCCTCGTGCACCCGGGGCTGCTTCTAAGATTACCATCGTCTCCGCAAGTTTTACCTGGCATTGACCATTTTCACCGGCTCCCACGGCGCAGGATGGGAAACGTCGTCTTAGGACACCGAAGGGAATCCTCCCCGCGCCGAGTTCCAGCGTTTTCGGCCGGCCGGCACGTCTCGACGCCGCTTTCGCCGTTCGCGATTTACGACCACGGCCAAGCGATCGACGACACGGCCGGTTAGAAGAAAGGTGACAGGCACGCAGGTGCCGATGTTTATAGGCGGTTACGACACGTACCATTCTGTAGGAGTTCCGAACGCGGCGTGGTAGGATGGAGAAAAACGTGGATAGGTCGGAAAGGGAGCGAGAGAAAGAGCCGAACGGCGGCTGGACGCGTGGGCTCGCGCCGCCTCGCCGCGGATTTTTGCGCCTTCGGCCGATCGACGAGCGACTCTCCGGGCGCAAAAGCCTCCGCGAGCCTCGACTTCACCCGAGAGAGCCACTTAACTCGAATTATCTGCTCGGCTTACGAGTACGGGCTCGGATTACGCAGCTTCGTAATTTTATATTCTGGCTACCTCGCGCCGGGGATCAGCGCTCGTAGCCCGGCTTTGTTACGAAATTCCCTCCCCTGTCCCGTCCCGACGAGAAAAAGGACACCATCCCCGACCACAGAATCTCGAATCGATTCAGCAATCGCGCCCGCATTTTCGCCAAGAACCGTGCCTCCGTTTCGCTGTCGCGCTTACGATTCCTCGTCTGATCGCTGATCCGTCGATTCTAGAAACAAGAGTCAGAAGTTAGGGAAGGATCCGAAATCGAGCTGTTCGATCACCGTCTATCCCTCGCGCTTCGATAGACTCTTGAATCGTTCACGCCTGTAAAGCAGGCATATTACGATCGGACAGGTTTCGGTGAGACTGTTCCTTGGCCGAATTCTCCGATTCCCGCGGCCTCGTCCCCGATACCGGTCATTTCTCTTTCCCCCCCGCGAACTCCGCGGCTAACGCGACCGCAGAAGAATCGAAGGCGCTTATTGTAGTGCACCCGGACTGTTTCGCCATTTGGAGGCAAGGTCGGTGTTACGGTACCCGGTACCGCGAGGTTCTTTTACCTTGCTCGAGCCTTCGCGCCGATCTGCCGCCACCTTCGCGCAGTTTAACACACC